CGATTCTGTCTCTCAAGGTAACTCCCAAGCAGATGCAGCTGCAAAGGAGGCAGCACTCTCTCCTCCACCTACACATGCCTTGTTTGTTTGTACTCCTGTGTCTGTACCCAGATCTCTCCTTGCACTACAGTCTTTTGCTACTCCTCCAGAGAAACAGCTATGGTGCTCCTGTGGAGCTGCTGTTACAGATAACATCTGGTGGGGCCCTGACGGCAACCCCTGCCTGCCGAAACACTTCTTTCATCACTACACCAAACTCGCACACAGTCTTGACCATGTGTCCAAAGGGGGAATATTAGGCATCATAACACAGCACTGGTTCACAAAAGGGTTCTCTACCTATGCTCAGAAATATTGTCAGTCATGTATGATTTGTGCAACTAACAATCCAGGTAAAACAACACCACTCACACAACAAGCAGCACAACCTACAGTATTGCTCACAATAATAGCAGTACAATGTGACTAACCAGAATAATCCAGGTTTTTAGTATATTTTTTATTGCTACATGGCAAACAAGTTACCAGTAGGTGCAGTAGATTCTCAGAAAGCAAACAAGACCCAGCATTCATGATATGCACGCTCTTAAGGCTGTGCAATTGGGCAATTAGTTGAAAGGGGTGTGTTAAAAAAATAGCAGTGTGGCATTCAATCAGTGAGGTCATCAATTTTGTGAAATAACAGGTGTGAATCAGGTGGCCCCTATTTAAGGATGAAGCCAGCACTTGTTGAACATGCATTTGAAAGCCTGAGGAAAATGGGTCGTTCAAGACATTGTTCAGAAGAACAGCGTACTTTGATTAAAAAGTTGATTGGAGAGGGGAAAACCTATAAAGAGGTGCAAAAAATTATAGGCTGTTCAGCTAAAATGATCTCCAATGCCTTAAAATGGAGAGCAAAACCAGAGAGACGTGGAAGAAAACGGAAGACAACCATCAAAATGGATCGAAGAATAACCAGAATGGCAAAGGCCCAGCCAATGATCAGCTCCAGGATGATCAAAGACAGTCTGGAGTTACCTGTAAGTACTGTGACAGTTAGAAGACGTCTGTGTGAAGCTAATCTATTTTCAAGAATCCCCCGCAAAGTCCCTCTGTTAAAAAAAAGGCACGTGCAGAAGAGGTTACAATTTGCCAAAGAACACATCAACTGGCCTAAAGAGAAATGGAGGAACATTTTGTGGACTGATGAGAGTAAAATTGTTCTTTTTGGGTCCAAGGGCCACAGACAGTTTGTGAGATGACCCCCAAACTCTGAATTCAAGCCACAGTACACAGTGAAGACAGTGAAGCATGGTGGTGCAAGCATCATGATATGGGCATGTTTCTCCTACTATGGTGTTGGGCCTATTTATCGCATACCAGGGATCATGGATCAGTTTGCATATGTCAAAATACTTGAAGAGGTCATGTTGCCTTATGCTGAAGAGGACATGCCCTTGAAATGGTTGTTTCAACAAGACAATGACCCCAAACACACTAGTAAACGAGCAAAGTCTTGGTTCCAAACCAACAAAATTAATGTTATGGAGTGGCCAGCCCAATCCCCGGACCTTAATCCAATCGAGAACTTGTGGGGTGATATCAAAAATGCTGTTTCTGAAGCAAAACCAAGAAATGTAAATGAATTGTGGAATGTTGTTAAAGAATCATGGAGTGTAATAACAGCTGAAAGGTGCCACAAGTTGGTTGACTCCATGCCACACAGATGTGAAGCAGTTATAAAAAACTGTGGTCATACAACTAAATATTAGTTTAGTGATTCACAGGATTGCTAAATCCTAGAAACAAAAACGTTTGTACAAAATAGTTTTGTGTTTGTACAGTCAACGGCAGACACTGCTATTTTTTTGAACACACCCCTTTCAACTAATTGCCCAATTGCACAGCCTTAAGAGCGTGCATATCATGAATGCTGGGTCTTGTTTGCTTTCTGAGAATCTACTGCACCTACTGGTAACTTGTTTGCCATGTAGCAATAAAAAATATACTAAAAACCTGGATTATTCTGGTTAGTCACATTGTACTGCTATTATTTTGAACAATACTGTATAAAAATTTTACAACAAAATGTACTTAAATATTAAAAATAGTACAAAGTATCCATTATAAAAATGGTTAGTTTTGTACTGTTGTAGCAAGTCTAGGTGGTGTATATTAACTAAGTAGAAGCATTATACTTCTCACTGAAATTTGTTACATCTGCAGTTTAATTTGCATCTCATTTAATTTCTAAAGCAGACAGGCCCATTAAGTATCTTCAGTTTATTCTCAAAGGCTGACTCCTGATTGGTTTACGAGTTAATGAATTATCCTTAATGTATTAATGCTATATCGGACACAGTCCAAAATAAAGCAAAGGCCACAATGTCCATCATCACATTATGATACAGTACAATCAAAATATGCATATTTTATCATTCAACATCAGTACAAAAGGCAGCAAGTGGCAGGTGAGAGGTAAGAGTGTAAAAGCATAAAGCATAAATGTCAATAGGGCAATAAATACATCAGATCACTCATGATTAAATATTTAGTAGCTGACTTATTAACATCCTGTCTATTTTCTTTCAGTCAAAATAAAGGATCACCTTCACATACATTTTCATTTGTTTAACCCTTGGCACCATACTGGTAAAAAAAGATTAAATTCCTTTAGTCATTTTCAATGATCACATTATACATTTATTCTCCACAAATACTGACTCATACTTACTGTCACACTCAGTGTCAGTGAGGTTAAAATATTAACTTGTAATGTATAGTCTAAAATTTCTTCTTTGCTATCTTCACAGTCAACTGTACTAACCATGCTGCATTCTTCTCATTGCCTACAATAAGGTCCACTTATATAAAAATCTACCTCTTGTATCCATAGTAAACTTACATATCATTAAAAGCTGATAGTTGATAAAATATGCAGTAGCACATGTCAGGCCTCCTCTCTGGTACTTTCTGCACCCTGGTACTTATCTGCAGGTCCACTCTTTTGCATGCAGCCATTGTTACATTATCCCCCTCCTGTTGATTCAGCCAGCTGTTCATCCTGAACATCTTTATTCAGGCTGAGCAGCTTCATATGTCTCTGTCCCTCCCTGCTGTGTCTGTCCCTCCATCCCACTTCCTTCATCTTCTTCTTTCACTGTGTTGATCTGTGCCACTCCCAGCCGGTACAGAGCATCCCTAATCACTACCTCTCCAGGCTGGCAGGCCTTCACCACTTGGTTTACCTGCTGGGTCACAATGTCCCTACTGGTGAGGAAATCTACCAAGCGGTTGTACAGGTAGTAATAAGCAGTGTTGTTGAAAACAACGGGGTGCTGCCCTGTACGACTCACTGAGGAACCATCCTCCGATTTCTCTGTGGAGTCTTTCACAGCTTCATCTGTCTGTTCTTTCTGTTCTGACCCCTCGTTATTCTCCTCTTCCTTCACTTTCTCCAGCTCAGCCACCAGACTGACATAAGGCTCCAGGTCTCTGCAGAGGTACATTGAATGGTGCTCTGAAGGAGGAGCAGAAGGCTGTGACGGCTGCTCTCTTGCAGGAGGATGAACCAGCCAGCAAGAGGAAGATTTGGTGATAGGGTGGAGCTGCTGATTCTCTGTTACCAAAGAAAGGTCAGCACTGTATGGCTGGTCCTGCATCTCAGCACACGATACAAACTGAAGAACAAAGACAGGGTTTCGTAGACAGTGATACACTTTTACACGTGTATTGCACATTTACAAAGTATGAAAAAAGAGAATTCCAATTTTCTTAACAAATAGATTAAATTCACATTCCTTGATCTAAATGTAAAAAGTCAAGTTCCAATAAAAAAACATTCAAATGAGCTTTTCCTCAAATTAAAGTGACAATTTTTTCATATGTGAACTTATGATGAAAGTTAAAAATCTTTCTGTAAACACTGAATGAGACTAAACCTATATTTTCAAATAAAGTAAAGTGATTATAATTTAAATATTTACCTTTTCAAGTGACTCTTCATATGATTTACACATGCATGATTCTGTGTGTATTAAACATTGTGATTGTTTTTTTTTTTTATTCTTTTAATTTTATATTCTGTGCAGCAAAGAGCTGAGCCTTAATGGGGAACTGGACTTAATGTCAAATACCCACCTCTGGCTTTTCAAAGGGGTCAGAGAAGCATCCTTGGTTCCTGCCCCACATCTGGGCTGCCAGTTCTGGATGCTGCATGTCAGTGCACAGCGCCACCTGGCGGGCACAGTCGCTAACATAGACTGGGGGCCAGTAGCGGCAGGACAGCAGCAGGTCCACGTGGTCTCGAGCCGTCTCGCCTCTCACCAAGTACTTAGAGCCGCACACCACCTAGTAGCACACATGGGAACATCTGAGTTTTTAAAGAAGGATTTTGTTCATCATGTATGCCTGACTAAGACACAAAGATCTTGCTGGTTTGGTTTTAACTCTTTGGACTGACAGGTGAATGATTGAGGGACTAAACAAAGGAATGACAGGGCTGATGTTTTTACCTTGTGAGGGCAGACTTTGGACAGCTTGCCAGCGGTGAGGTGTGGAGGGGGATGGGGAGCTGTGGCGAGGCCACTATGAACAAGTGTGTACAAGGAGATCAGAGAGTCCAGCAGCTCATTCTAACACAGAGGGAGACAGAAGGGAGGCTTTTATTCTGACAAACTCCCACACAGATATAAACAAGCAGAGATAAAATGAACACAAACTTTAATTAATGAGAGAGAAGTAACATCTTTAAACTCTATTCATGTTCCTCCTGTTAGAAGGGAATTTCCTGTACTGTAAACCAAGAACTTACAGTATCACATGATCAGTGTGTTTGTTCCAGAAATACATTAACACTCATATTTTAAAGTCAGTATGTTCACTTGCAGTCATTAGCATGCTCTCCCTCCCTGTCACACACATGCACACACACACACCTTAGTGGAGCTTGGGGCGATGCTCAGTCCACAGCGGTCAAGCATCGCTCTCAGCTCTTCCTCACTGTGATCGTCAATCTTGTCAAGTCTCAGCTCACCGTCGTGGATGAGACGCACCAAAACTGACGGATCTCCTGAAAACAGATGAGAAGAACGACTGATGTAAAAATAAATATGTTTTTATGGTTCACAAAAGCCACTGCAACCAAAACAAAGCTGTAAATCAGAACTGCATGGGAGAATTGCTATGCACATACCACCGACATAAAATGAGTTGAAGTTGGAACTGCTGCATTTACATCTTTATACTGTTCTAGTAATTATCTTTTCCTGGCCATTTCTTATTCTCTCTGAAGCCACATATGTGTAATAGGTAACATATCGGGGGCAGGAACACTTTACCTCTTATTTCACACTTTCAGAAAAAAAGGTTTCATGCGTATCAATGGACTAGTTCTTATAGAAGCTAAGATTCAATAGTAGTTTAAAAGAACTGGGTACCTGAAGGCTGCTGGGTGTGTGACAGCACCTTGTCCTTCTCTGTGTTGATAACAGTGGGACTCCTCATCAGAGGAGGGATGAAGGGAGCGATGATGGAAGCATCCACCTGTGTGATAGGGATGTCTGCAGGGAAAGCTGCCTGCTCGATAGCCTCGCTCTCCATGGTCAGCCAGAAGTCATCCACGTGTACCTCATCAGAGACTGAACACTCGGGCCAGGTAAACTACGGAGACAGTGTGGTTCAGGCAACTGTAAGACGCTGTCACTGCTAAATAGCTCTGAGCTTCATTTTGGAACAATTCTGCAATAAATCTGTCACCTCCACATTCTTGAGTTCCAGCACAATGTTTGTGTATCGCTGTGCAACCTCCAGCTTGGGTGCAACACCACAAATGCCACAGATCATATCGTTGTAATCTCGCAGTGTCAGACACTCAAAGGCCCAGTAGCCGCTGAGAAGAAGCTCATGAATTTGAGATAACTCCTCTGGACTCAAAGCATGGACTAATGCAACAGAAGAAGACACAGTGAGCTTAGCATTGTGTAAAAGACAGAGAGAAGAGTACAGAAAATTCAACACGACTATCAGAACCACATTCATGTGCAGAATTCATGCATGTAGAATGTAAACCAGTGTTTACCAGGGTGACTGGGGATGTGGTCCAGTACAGCCCTGGCTGCCTGAGAGGGGTCCTGGCCTAGTTTGATACTGGCCCTGATCTTCAGGAACAGGTCAATACTCACCAGCAGTCTGTTCCCGATGTTGAACAAACCTGTCAAAAAAGAAAGAAGTGTTTGAAGCCACAGAGGAAAGTAGCTACAGGCAGTGTTGCAGTTTAAAAAATAGCTCTTTCATGACAAGCCGTCTACATGCATTTGATACAGTGTGACAGCACATTGCTGTTAACATGAATACACAAGTTAAATGTTGTCATATAACTGTGGTCTTCTGCCCACAAATAAAAACAGAATGGTATGAAAAGCTGCAGCCAACATTGTTTCACCATTTCATACACTAATGACAGCAAGTTTCTGGAGATAAATGATGATACTGATAGCAATGTTTGCATAACACTGACTTGCATGTGTCTTAGAAATCGGTGTTCATCAAGAAAAAGGGAACAAGTACCATTTACCAGAATCTTAGATGTTGTACGTTATGCACATGATTCACAGTAGTAGTGTAGTGTCCCCTTCTGGCCAAAACTGACAGTAACTTGAGAAAAGTCTGAACGGCAATATTTGTACAAACAACCACCTAAATAAATGCAGAAACAGCCGCCTGGGAGCATTCAGTGTATTTTCGAAAAGGGTGCAACATCAGCGATATAACAATTCTCAGAAGTATACCCACTATCTAAGCTGCTGTGCTGGACATAATTGGACATACTTTGTATTTTAAAAAATGTACAGTTATTACTTGACTACACAGTGGAACACAATGAACCAAAAGTAGGAAAAATCTGCTTGGCTTCTATACCTGATATTTGACAAAAATGTGGCAGGACTGTCTACCTGGATGCAGGTCAGTGAAGCTGTGCAGAGCCAGACACTGAACATTGAGACACACTTTGAGCTGGAGAGAAGCTGTCTGGATCAGTGTCTCAGTGAGCAGCCAGCAGTCCACCTGTCCTGCAACAGTACTAGAATGTACAAGCACACACATACAATAGGAGCAAGATAGTTAGAGTCAACTAATAAAAACAACAAACACACCTTGAACACCTCCATCTTCCAGCAGATCAAAATGCCTCTTTCTCATCCCAGTTATCATCTTCTCACCTCTGACCTCCTTTGAACAGAGGGTAGCTACACAGGACACAGTGAGTAGCTGCTGATTCATAGAACTGAGGCCACCCAGACTCTACCAGCGTCCCCATCTCTATGCCGCCTCGATGCTCCTGGTCAGTCGACTGAACCAAGATGAACTGAAGACTGTTGAGCTCCTGTATGAGGCTTAATGTTTCCTGAAGCTCAGTCTCAGTTTCAGGAATCTGCACGGAATGGCGCAGTAGCTGCAGTGTATTCTGACGCTGGATGTCCTTCTGAGCAGGACTCAAGGCCTGGTATGGATCCAGAAGAGTCCCAGACTGAGAAAGTAAAAAAAATGAAAGAATAAAAGCAATTCATCCACATTAAAAAAATATAAAAAGGTTTCAATAATGTTCAAGTGAATATGATCATTGCTACAACAAAGAGAAAAGATTTGTCTGTATATGGGTTTAACAAAGTTAAATTTAACTCTGCAATAACTGCAGTGACAAAAAAAAAAAACCATCTACAAATTCACGGTTAAAACAAACAAAACACAGACAAAGGGAAAAGAAAAGGGTGTTATGGATGTTAAAGATGACACTAGTTCTGTTTCCTTGAAAATCCAGAAAAGAAAACTGCAAAAAAATTATAACTTGACACCAAAGGCCTGCTGTCACCAGTCTGAAGTCTGGACTTATGAATGTTCAGAGACGACTGCTTAGGTATTCACGGTTGTGCTGGGATGTCATAAAAGGGGTCAAGAGGTCAGAGACACAGCTGGAAGCTAATCCTACAGTACTGGCACTTCAGAAAAAGGAGTAAGTAATCTTTCACCTTAGCTCCCTTGGTGTTCTTCTGGGTCAGCTCGCAGCCACACTTAGGACACACTGCAGGTTTGTGTCTGTTCTTATACATATAATCACAGGATGGGTTCTTACAGCGACCCCTGCCTCGTGCTGTGGACAGTCCCAAGTCCTATGAGAACAGAGAAGAGGATAAATCAGCTAAATATCAAGAAATAATGGACATCCAGAGACAAAATTGTATTTGAAAAGAACAGTAAGTGTAACCAAATGAAAATCAGGCTAAATTGCACAAAGAAAGCAGTACACTGACAAAACTGGAGACAGAGTGCTGTTTGAAAGGCACGACTGAGAGGATATTCACTCTTCTCTCAGTCAGTGAGGACACAAATTCACTTCCATCTGCCTGGACAGGGGAATCCTATGGAAACACACAAAACAGTGAGGAAACTGGATTAAATCTGTATCTTTCCCAGGGTTTCTCCTACCACAGAAAGGCTTAGGCACAGCGCCTCAGTGTTTTTTGGAGCTGAATGAAAGTAAAAAGGCGCCATATCAGAATTAATGTAAAAACAAAGGTGAGTTAGCCCTGTAACACACTGGTGAACTGTCCAGGGACAGCCCCCCACAATAGATAATGGATGGACGGATGTACAATGGTGAGTTATGTGCTCTGAAAAATAACAGAGAGGCGACCTGATCTCAAAATGAAACATAAGCTGGTAACAGGAATGACCTGTCAATCCACAGGTGATTGGCAGCATCGCTAAGCTAATCAAACAGCTGACTAGATTTTTCTCTGTTCTGTGAACTCAGGACAATAGTTCCAGCAACAATAAGGTTAGCCTCAACAAAGAATGCATGAGGCTATAACTTTGTTGAGGAGTATTTCTTGTGAATGGTAACAAGAGATATAATAGCATGTAGCCTGTTTTATAAGTATTTATAAGTAATTACCATATAAATATATTGCTAACATAGCTATGCACTGAATTAGCTGAGTTACATTAGCCAAGGAAGCTAGTTAGTTTAGTTAGCTGACATTACATAAATGTTAGAAATATAAGGCAAGTTTATTTATATAGTAGCACATTTTCATACACAAAGGCAATTCAGAGTGTTTAACACAATGCAAACAGGTGGATAAAACATTAAATTGTATACAAAATGCACACAGAGAGAAAACATTAAAATGCACATTTGGATAAAACATTACAATGCAAATAAGACCGCAAATATTACTTAAAAGCAACAGTAACATGACAGAACAAGTAGCAACAGGTATGAGTAGATACCTAGTATTTTTAGTACAGTATAGCTGTGGCAGGCTGTGGATTCTCACTGCTCTCATTATACTTTGTACCCCTTTAGACTAATCTCTAAACAACTTACACCAGAGGCGAGCATACTATCTTTTAGAAAATTTGAAACACCTCTTGAATAATTTTAACATCCCCCCTCCCCTAAACCCTGTTTAGTGTTTTCCATTTGTGTATGTGTTTCTGTTTGTGCACATGTTAACCTGCTTGGTTGCTGGGACCATCTGGCCGAGCTGCTTTAAAGTGCTGGGTTTGAGACCTGAGAACCTCTCTCGAGGCACTGTGGTTAGAAAAAGAAGACCACATCAACTGAGAGCAGAAACCTCAGAAAGTACAGTCACTTACACAGACATACAGTATGACTTACTCATTGTATATTATAGTCTAAGTCAATAAGGAATGAACATAAGTCTGTGTCCAAACTACAAACTCATTGATTACATTAAAGTATAATTTGGAATAAAATCAGATGATGCACCGTACCGGTAGATGATCTGTTGTTGTTTACTGACTGAGTTTTTCCTTTGTCAGGTGGAACAGTTATGATCTGGAGCAGAGCACGGCCTAGAAACACAAACACATGCAAATATGTCAAACCACATGATGCCATCTTAACACTGATGGCAGAACACTGTCTGGGTCCTGGATGTGTTGCTTACCTGTGCTATAGTAGGCAGGGAGGATGGGTCTCACAGGCCTCTTTTGTACAACGGCATTGCTTCTGTCTTGACCTTGGACTATCGTGCCTTTAGTACTGTCTTTAAATTCTCTGCTGAAAGACAGAGAAAAAGTATGTTGAGTAAGATACAAAGTTTTCTGAAAACGTGCAATAAAAACAGCTGCTAAAGCAACAATCCTGTACCATTTATATTTTTAGGATAACAATAGGGCTTTGTACCACACTTGTTAATATTTCAGCTTTTCAAATAAACAGACCCTGACTAAAAATGGAATTTAGAAACTTAGAAACATTGATATGTATAATGTTTCACATTCCAAATGATATACAGTGCAGTTTTTGCCCTAACATCCCAGTACACATGGTCACATGGTCAACATGCTGTTGAAATCCATGTATCCTGACTGAAAATGCTTAATATCAGAACTGGGCCCTGAGGACCCAGCACTGTCCACCCCAGTCACAAAACATGGCATTAACTTGCTCACTTTGTCTGTTCCTGTGCCTCAGTGCTGCTGCCCTCTGGTGACTCTCCAGCTGGAACTGCACACTGTCTTCTGGAGCACTGCTGAATTCGCCCTTCTTTTTTGCTCCCAGCGGTGTGTGTTTTACTGACATGAGCACTCTCCTCCAGAGCAGGGGGCGGCGTGGGTTGGCAGCTCTCATTAGCTATGGTTTCAGCGTTCTGTGGACATTGCTTTGATGTCGCTTCTTTCTCTCTTTTCTTCTTTGCCTTCTTTGCCTAATGTATAAATGCAGCCAAAGTTAACTGACTTGAATCCCTGGTCAAAACTGGAGCCTGAACCAGATCTGCCAACCTTAAATAAAGTCTTTGTGTACCAGCTAATAATCTGTAATTTTATCCCTTTTTCCCAACACCAGCCAACACATAAACATTGCTCTATAAATGTGCACATTCGGTGTTCAGTTATTTGTCAATAACAGCACTACAGACTAGTGGAGAATGAACTGTGGGGATCTGCAATGCATGGATAAAATAACTTACTCTGCCAACCTAAATGGCTGGTGAACAAGCAAGCTAGTTGAAAATACATACATAACATTAGGCTATTGTTAACTTTACTCAATTCACAGTCTCGCCTCTCCACATCCCCCCATTCATTTACCTTTTTAAAGAAGTTCAATGAATGGTCCTCACTTCAGGAACTAGCCAGCTGGAGTGATGAGGGGGGGGCAACAGGTGTAAAATACAGGTCAAGAGCCCTACTGTTGTTTTACAGATCCTAGCTACTACCTGCTGAAATGACATTAAAGCTACGCATTTGTCACTCATCGCCAAATCCAGCGCTATGATTGGTCAAACTCTTCTTCCTCTTTTGCTTTTTGACAGGAAGACTTATGTCTATAACGTAGACACTCTTTGAGACAGAGCAACAAATCGTAGCAACATACAAATGCATACCTGCAATGCAAAATGTGTACAGGTTGGCAGGTCTGCTGAATCACTGTACTACTAATATAGATTTCAACATCCCAAACTGTTTGTGGAGATGCTGCTTAGCACTTACGGCAGGTATCCATTTTCCACCCAAGTGGTTCCCGCACTCAGGGCATGTTGGTGGCTTGTGGCGGGTGACGTATACAAATGAACAGCCAGGATTTAGACATCTGCCTCGACCTCTCCTGGTGTATGTCTTCACAGACTGCGAAAAAAAAACAAAACAAGTTCATGTGTCCCTCAGGTCTGTCAAGGTAGGTAGGTAGGTACTTTATTGATCCCTCAACGGGGAAATTTCAGTGTTTCAGCAGCAATGGAGAACAAACAACATAACACCATGAGAAACAAACAACACACACATATCTTGATAAACAAATTTCAGTGCCTCAAGCAGCAATAGAGAACAGACAGCATAACACCATGAGAACAAGCACCGCACACACATCCTGATAAATAAATTCCAAGTACTCAAAAATAGACAGAATCAAGTATTTGAATAATCAACAACATAATTTACATATGCGCATATTAACCATGCATTTTACCCCAGGATTTGAGTATTGCACATCAGGTGACTATTACATAGTCCCTCATACTTTCACCTAGCTTATCCCTGCAGTGATGTATTGTACAGTCTGATTGCTGTGGGGAGGAACGACCTACGGTAACGCTCCTTCATACACTGGGGATGTAACTGTCTTGCGCTAAAGAAACTGTAAACTCTACATAATGATAGTCTTGATTTTCTTTTTCCATGTACAGACTAGTTGTCAGTATAAGGTCTAACAGCTGGATGAAGAGTGTGGGTGCTTACCATTTTATATGAAGGTTTAGCACTCTGTTCTACAGAGACCATCATCACTGGGCCCACAGAGCTGACACCTGCAAAAGACTTGGTCTCCTGCAGGTTCTGAAATGAGGGAGAGATCACTTCACTGCATTTGTAATGACAGCGCTTTTCTGAATACATGCTCATAGATTTTTAATTATCAAACCCTAGTAAACCATGAACAGATGAAGCTCATTCTACTAACTGACAGCTAGACTTTTAAGTCTCACCTGTGTGGGTATAATGGCAACCACTTGTGTGGTTTCCTCTTGTACTGGTTGTACCACTGCGCTGCCATAACCACAGCCAACAACTCTTGTCTCGTTTCCTTTTAGCATGACTCCATTTGCCATCAGGTCAGCAGAACCCTGTGAGATATGAATGTCTGTGGAGGCTGGGGCATTGGATGTCATGGAAGAGGAAGGAGAGGGTAAAATTCCTTGGAAGGCCGTGGGACAAGACACCACTGCTGTTTCTTCTGCTATGCTGTCAACAATGATGGGCTGCTCAGAAAGTTCCAGCTCAGTGCCCAACCCAAGAGGTGGGAAGTGGGGTTCTTGGGTGAGGGAAACCGAGGAAAAGCCTCCTTCAGTTGTAGGGTCCAGACACTCCACACTCACCTCTGGGTGAAGGCCTCCCGCCTGTTGATTTGAGGGGCAGCCTTTAGACAAAAGAAAGTAACTGGCTCTGGGGAGGATTTTGCGGAAACCTGGCAGATCTCTGGAGGGGCTGACAGATGACTGATGGAAAAACACAATTAAAAAGACTGTTAATGTCTATCCATAGAATAATTATGACATTATACTAGATACAAGTGAATTAGCCTAGTGCAGAGATGTAGCAAAAAAAGAGAAAAAAGTGCTGTAGTGCAGCTGCAAAACTTTGGCCACAAAAGCAGAATAGATATTCTGACTGTGGATCATAGTCTTAGTGAGCATCTACAAGACAAATGCTTGTATTTGTAATGAAATATAACAAGCTGCTGATATGTACACATTTTTATTTATTCAGATTTAAATAGTTACACAAAGAAGTTTTGTTCTGATAATCTGGTGAATAAGACAGATTGTCAGATGGACAGGTTCCCTTTTATGAAAAAGTTAAATATGTAGCTTACTGTATCTATGCCTTCCTTCTCAACCTTGGCCTTCTCCAGATAGTAGCCTTTCTCAGCCACACTGAGCCTTTTCCAGCTCTCACTGATACGCTTGTTGATCTCTGACTGTGGCAGATTAGGGATTTCCTTTTGCAAAATCTGGTGCACATCAAAGTAGTATAGCAGGTAGGCAGACCTACAACAGACATATGCCACATCTACAGTCAATACATGGCAATGATGATTTTAGAAGATCAATCCCTGTTTAATAATGACATACTGTACTTTGTGCATTTGAGAGATTTTTTTTGATTTTAGAAGATCAATCCCTGTTTGATAATGACATACTGTACTTTGTGCATTTTGTGCTATTATATGGTTACGATGAAGCTGTTTGTGAAAATCTTTTGGATTATGCACATCACCTCGGTTTCTTAGTTTTCTCAGCGCTGTGTTCTTGAGCTTTGCTCTTCCTTTTTTTGGGAGCAGGTACTTCAATTTCGTTGTAGCAGACCTCCACCTCCTCAGTCACTTTCACAACCTCATACATGTCCACTTTCTCCATGATTTCCAAAGAGCAAGGGCCAACTTGAAAAATAGCATGAGATTAGCTGGTTGTTCATGTTTGAATCGTCATGAAGGCAAAGTCTATTGCAGCTGTGTCATTTACAGTTGCAGCCCAACAGAAGAGGAAAAACAGCAACTGAAGGATAAGGATAATCACCTTTATTGGTGATAAAAGGTCACCTTTATTGGCCAAGTATGTTACACACAAGGAATTTGTTTCCGGTACAGAACCGATGGCAGCCATTTGCGGCGCCACCTCAACCGATGGCTCTAACCATCGGGGGGAGGGGGGGGTTCAGTGTCTTGCCCAAGGACACTTCGACTGCCGGTACCGAGATTCAAACCTTCAAACTCCTGGTTAGGAGACGACCGCTCTACCCACCGCACCACTATCACCTGAATAAATGTTGCATTACGTAATATGCATTTGACGTCCTACTGTTACAATGTTTCATGAGTAAAACATGTCTCTCTTCTGTGCTTTGATGCAGGTACTGAATTTCTGAAGCCTATTATGGCTCAGTGGGTAGCTATATCTCGTTTGATGAGGGGCAGAGAGATGTTTCGTATACTAAACCCACAGAACGTAGAAACAGAGTGAGTACAGGAAGCTACTTCATGCAGCTAGAATAAATCACTAATGCCTTGTAAAGTGTCATAGAAACTTGTCATGCATGGCTCATACTTCGAAACTAAACATGTTAAGAACACGCGTTCTTCCTTGCTTTAAAAGTGGGTTTAATGTCGTGTGTTTATACTGCCTGCAGTCACTCAGTTATCCAATGAAATGTCGTCTTGTTGAGGCCTTACCTAAGATGTCCCGAGGCTCTACAAACTGCTCTGAACAATCTTTAGAAGTCACCGAAAAAGCCAGACATCGTGCCAACGCTATATAATGCATATATCTGTATATGTTTCATATTATATCAACGATTTGCGATGCTTAAATGTCTGTAAAGTAGCTTTGTTTCTCATCGACTTGGAAAAAAAATGGCGGTTTGTTGCTATAGCTTTCAACCAATCAAATGTCGGAATAAATACGTTTAGGCCAATCACGGAAGACGGTTTTGACACGTGAAAAAAGGACGTGCGTCCCATATACTTCAATGCCTACAGAGTACAGACTGTGTCCAAAAATAGCCGGAACTTCTAAGGTTAGTTCCTCTGAAAGTACAGATTAGATACTTGAAGAATTTTGCAGTGTCATCCTTGATATAGCTATTGGGGACAGAGACAGTATTAAGCTGCCTAAACTGAACGGGGGAAATAATAGATTATATAATATAAATTGCCAGTAAGTTAGTGGCAGCAGAACGAATACTATTTAGATTATCGTGTCTCCATGAAATGTCTCCAAATTCCAACCATATTAACTACAAGTGATGCCGCATTATTCATACAAGTTAAAACCATCTTTATACTGTCTATGGTTCAAACCAACACACCCCCAGACCTGCTATCAAAATTTGTAATATATGTACTTCCCTGAATGTTTTTACTTAACTTAACCCTTTAAGTCACCCCCTGGCCTGTAAGTTTCATGTTCACATTGTCTGCTTCGATGTTGTTCTTGTTTTTATGTTCTTTATTTTATGTTATAGTCCTTTGTTTCCATTCTATTTACTTATGTATAACTGTCATATGCCGACCAAACTAATCGAGCAGAACCAAAAAAACGGCAGTCCAGGTTTATGTGCTGAACACCGATCACCCCACTGAGCGAACATGGCGGGTGACAAGGTGAGTGAGCAACTGTACCCTGGCTTTAAATGTATTAATTTCACGTGTTTTGTCAGATGACACAAATGGTTCCTCTCACCAGCTGTTAGCTCCATATTAAAATTGGGTTGCTGGGGCGAGATGCGCCTTTAAACGAAGGCGATCTTTCCTTGAGCCGGCTAACTGTAAGTTAATTGTAACCGCTATGCTGCTGTTAGCAAACCAACAAACTTTGAGAAACTATTCGGCTGTTTTATTAAGAGAAGATCTTTATGGAAAGATCTGTCAAAACTGTAACCATAGACTATTTTAAGGCACCGTTGGCTATTCACGGTTACATTATTCATGGTAATTTCACATTGTTTTCTAATACAATAGTGATAACATTGGTTTAATTTCAGGATCCTCTGAATCAGTTGAAAGATCTGACACAGCTAAAGAATCAGCTGGAGGAGATCCAGCGTCGAGTGGAGAACGAGATTTCTGCGGGAATCCCCCAGGTACCTTATTTCACATCCCCCGATAACTGGCCACACGACGAGAATAAATTGAAGTTATTTTCAAAGCAGCAATGTCTGATTATTATAACTATGTGATGTGTGTAATTATTTGTACACCTATTAATGTAAACTAAATCGTGTATATGGGGAAAATTAGCCAACAATTCATCCGTTTTGTTAAAGAAAGATGATGAACTCTAAAACAGAAGTCTTTAGAAAATATGGGTGCATATTTCAGTACAGTTCATCCTGACTTAAATGTCTTTGTCACTGTTATTGCTTTGTTTTTGTCTAATCATGCGTTAGGACTGCTTTATATGCCCCCCTTTTTTGTGTTATATAGTCCATAATATAATGATTTATCATTGACAGTTCCTCTACTTTTGCTATTGGTGTATTCAGTTTTATACTGTACATACATGTTTGTCTCCCTGTGCTTAAAAGCCTGCTGTTATGATTTTCTCTTGCAGGGAAGCTCAGTGCTGGGATCTCCGTTTCTAAAGGGCTTTCTGGCCGGATACGTGGTGGCCAAGCTACGCTCCTCCGCCTTCCTGGGAGTGCTACTGGGAACAATCACTGGCATGTACGTGGCACAGACCTATGAAGTGCCCAACATTGACAGGACTGTGAAAGAGTATATGAACAACTTGAAAAAAGGACCAAAATAATGTGGGCTGACTGCTAGCCCTCACAGTCCTTTGCCAGGTACATAAGAATAGGAGATACTGTTGCAGCTGCTGGTTTGTGATAGGACAACCTTCCAGATTTCTATATAGACTGGATTACTCATATAAAGATATAACTGGAATTTCAATGGGGACTCAAAACAAAAGACTTCTTATTTGTATTTTGGATTCAGTTAGTGTTAACACAGAATGTAAGACCTGTGCACCTAAAAGGTTTTGGTCCATTGTTTTGGGATTTTGAGAATTTATCATGTGTCAAACAGGCAGTAATCCTACAGTTTCCTACATGTACATAATACATATACAGAGAATGGTGTTATCAAGTATTTTATTATCGATATTTAAAGGGTTGAGATTTATAGTTTTTCATGTTACAAATAGCCTAAAGTGAGGGGGGTTAGATATTATTAGTGTTTATATTTCATCACTGAAGATGATTGTGATCCAGAATGTGAGTACCAGTTCCCCGGTGAGGATTAGGAGACAGTGGATGAAAAGGATTGAGTGGGGTGTCCTCCTGGGGCTGATGGTCCTCATCTATGCCTCCCACGCACCACTCATCACTCTCAGCAAGATAGATGGTGAAGTCCCTTTCAACCCCTCATCCTGTGTTGTCATGATTGAGTTTGCTAAACTCCTTATCTCTCTGGTGACTCTTGTTCTAACTGGGGGTACATCCACCTTACATGCTCCCCCATCCATAGCTGTTGTAGCCCCTTATGCAGTCCCTGCCGTGCTCTACGCCCTCAACAACAACCTGGTAGTTCTCATGCAGGCCTACATGGACCCAAGCTCATTCCAAGTCCTCTCTAATCTTAAAATTGCCTCCACAGCCCTGCTGTACTCAGTTTGCCTGGGTAAGAGGCTCCGGACTGCTCAGTGGTTAGCTCTGGGGCTCCTCATGGGTGCAGGGGTGTGCCACAGTTACAGCAACCTGGATCTAGGGGATTCTGAGAGGACTGACACTGAGGAAGGTCTCAGGCTTCATATCACAGCTTGGGGGCTTTTCCTCGTGCTGCTGTACTGCTGTGTTTCAGGGATGGCAGCAGTTTACACAGAGAGAGTGCTGAAGAGCCAGAAGTTGCCCCTCAGCCTGCAGAACCTCTACCTCTATGTGTTTGGTGTGGCTATCAATGGGCTCTCCTCCTCTTCTTCTGTAGCAAGTGAGAAGAGCTTTCTGGAAGGGTACTCAGGGGTGGTGTGGGCCATTATAGCAGGGCAGGCTGCTAACGGACTGCTGATGTCTGTGGTTCTGAAGCACGGCAGTGGGATCACCAGACTGTTTGTCATTTCCTGCTCTATGTTGGTTAATGCTCTGTTGTCTTGGGCTATCTTAGGGCTGCAGCTCACTCCTTTTTTCCTCCTTCCTGTTTCTATGATTGGACTGGCAGCTTACCTTTATTATACATAGTCTACACCAAACATTCTACTAGGTGCATTTAATCCAAAAAGAACTTTTATTACAGTCTAGCTAAACTTCTGTTTTGTAGATTTTGAGATTACGTTACAGACATGATTCATTATCTGCCTTCTCAGTCTGGACTCCAGAATCCAACACATGCCATATTATGTCTGAGCAGTCTTATCAAATGATGTAAATTTCCATAATGATTAAGAGTTGATTTAAAATCATGTGACACTTCTTTTTTGTTTTTAATCACATCTTTGCCAACAACAACTGTCAAAGATAAAATAAAGTGTTATACACTGTGTTAATAATAGCCAGTACGTTGTCAGGTCATGATTTACAATAAGCACACACTTAATAAACAACTACAGTACAAGTTCATTGTTGTTGGGAGAGTGGTTCAACCTTGGGATCACCTCTCGCAGCTAGATTATCCTTTAACTCTCCCAGTGCTGTAGAAGAAAAGAAGAATTGTTGAATGTCAGAGAGAGTTGCTATCTCAGGGCATTCCTTTCACGTTTGACCTCAAGAGTTTTGCCACCACCAGCAGGACTGGTAGAGGTTAAAGAAAATACACTGACCTTTGCGGAGTTGTTTGTTGTCAGCCTGCAGCTGCTGGTTCTGGGCAGACAGGTAGACAGCATCCTGCACAGCCTCTAGCAGCACATTTCTGTACCTGCCCTCTGACATTTTTCTCTGTTCTTCGCTTACCTGACGAAACACACGGAACACCTAGAGAGTAGCAAAACAGATAGACAAAAACACGGGGTCAGCGCAGGAATGGTGCTAAGTAGCTGTAGCTTTACTGAATAAACTAATGGTTTTAAGTCTCTTTTTGTATCAGTTGTTGAAAATTACATTTTGTAGAATAAAGTTGAGGTATCACATCAAATAATGTGCTGCTGTATTGCTTTCAATGTAATACAGGACACAGATGATTCACACATCAATATTTTCAGTTTTAATTTTGATTTTACATGCCATCCCAGCTTGTTCTGATTTCAGGTTGTAGACAGTGTGCAGCTGCAGCCACAGCTGGTCTCTCCTACCTGTAGGCTCTCCTCCCTCAGACACTGCAGCTCCGTCTGGTGTCTGTGATGCTGATCCTGCAGGTCTCTTTCAGCCTGCAGGGCCTCGGCGCGTAGGGCCTCTATCTGCAGCACCAGAATCCGCCTCTCTCTGGTCAGCACCAGCAGCTCTCTCTGGGGGCCCTCTGTCTAGAAGAAGAATGGATAACACAATAAAAATGCAAGAAAATAACAGAATTAAGTTGCAAATGCAGTGGTTTCCCCTGCTCACCACAAATCCACACTTGCATTAATTTAAACTGAGTCAGCACCCTTAGTTAAGACAGATCACAACCTGAATAATGTTAAACAACAGTGTATCTCATTATCTCACCAGTTGCTGTTTCTGCGCCAATTCACTCTCCATCTTCTCTGCCTCCTCCTGAATTAATCTCCCATGATCCTCCTTAAGCTGCCTCCTCCGCTCCTGTGCTTTGTTGTATTCCAACTGAGACTGATTATTAAATTGGCAAAATAAATGTCTTAGTGTGGGCATCCCACTCTCACACACATAAATCTTCTGAATTAATTTAATAGGGTAGTGACAAATGATCGTAAACACATCATCCACTCAGATGTATATGTATACATACTTGTTGACAGAAGTCAGATTTCTCAGTAGCAGCCCCATTCTTTAGTGTCTCCTCTCTGAGAGCCTCTTTCAGCTGCTGGATTCTCGCCACTCTCTCTTTGACTTTCTCTACACTCCCTTTACCCTCTGTGGATATGAGAAGGACTCATAATACATGTCTCTGGTTGTGCCTATGCAATAGTTGACATACTTTTGAATGATTACCTCTAATATGTTCCTCCATCTCCCGTCTCAGCTGGTCCTGTAGATATTTCACCGTGTCTGTATTCTTGCTGCGATCAGTGCTGTGATCTCGAGAAAACTGCCGATTCCTATTTAAGGACTTACAGCTCTGCCAAATCAGTGCAAAACATGGATCTCGTGTTATCACTTTCAAAGCAAACATCATGTGTTAAAACTTTTAATAATTCAGTCATTTAAACCTGTAATTTGAGTTTTATCTTCTTTGACTCTTCTGTTCTCTTCTCCCATGACTGATTTTTCACAATCTAATTGAGAGGTCACAGATTTCATTTCAGGTAGAAACTCAATTATTCCCTATAGAATATGGAGAGAAAGTACTATTTCATATTAGGACCATTTAAAGAGTTACCTGCAGCTTTTGAGTCAGCTCTTCTAGCCTGTAGATGTTGTGAACTTCATTTCCCCCCTCTGACATCATCATGGTTCGTAGATTCATGATGTGATCTCTGATCTCTTGCTCAGTTGCTCTTGGACACCAGCAAACAGCAGTCGGCTTAGTTACAAAACTTCTCATTTTTTGCGCCAAAGCTAAGCCAGAGGGAGTCTCATCATTCAGAAGACCTGATGAATAAAGAGAGTCATTTCTAGACTCAAAGGGTTATGGTTAAGTTGGTTGTGTCAGGGGCCAGGGAACCACTCACCCTGAGGGTTAATACAGTAGATGAGGACTGTTCTACTGTTTCCTGTTATGGCGTCATGTAGGAGCGAAGGGAGGAGCTTGTCGCTCGTTATGGCTCCACATGGGATTTGCTCCACAACCTTCACCAGTGGGTTAACTCTGGAAAATTTTCATCTCTCACCATTAAGTTCAGCACACACAGTATGGATTTTAAAATGCTGCTATTATACATGTAAACTGCTATTATATGATATCTTAAAGGATGTATTCCAAGTTTGTGTGCAGGCTAAGTTAGTAAGCAAACCAAGATAAGTATTTAAGAATGTAATTATATACGAATGTTAACACTCTGTTATAATTCTTTAGTATATTACTTGTGTGGTGTAGAAGAGAATTATCTATGTAGAGATATTGCTTGCAAACCAATGATGTAAGATGATGTCATGGGGTAGGACTGGATAAGTCTGACTTCTTCCTACTCCATTCAAGCATGTACTAGGTATAAGCAAACTGATATTGGATTAGCATTTGTTGGATATGTGTAAAATTATGTGTGTTGATATATCAACTGTCTTTACATGCTTGAAAGAATAAATAAATAAATAAATAAATAAAAAATAAATAAAGCAAGATGTATCTGAATAGCACATTCACTTCTAAAAAAGATTCACTGAGCTTCACATCAAAACAGAACTAAACAACAGTGACATGAGCTGTATTCCATATTGTGTATGGTGCATACTATACACTAGTCTTTACAGTTTTTGTAGGTAGTATAGTTAGGTAGGTGAAAATCCACATACTTTAGTGTGTTTTATACAAAGAGGTGTGATGCAGTATGTGCACTGTGCAAAGGCAATTACAGTGTGACTTCAGAGTGCCACTACCAATGAATCTTCACACAGTAACAGCTACATATTTTTACAAATGCTCTTAAAAAATTTTTTTTTGTTTTCTGGGGTGTTACTAGAGCTGTTTTTTTACCACCATCCACAATTAGCTATGATGTTTTTTTGACTGTGAGTAGCACCTCCTATTCTTTTGTGAATAGTATTATGGGAGAGTATTGTGCATCAACAGCACATCCAAAAAATCAGGTTTTTTTTTTTTTTTTTAATATAAACAGTTTACTTCAGTATACCTTATCTATATTATAGTGTGAATACGCTACATATATGAAAACCTGCCTAGAATTAGCATGAGGTGTGGATTTGGTATACAGAGTATACTGTAGTGTGTGCTGTGTGTAATTGAAAACACTTTGCTAATTTTAATGTTGCGTGAAGCTGCGTGGATCATTTAAGTGGTGGTTACATGTGGATCCAATAAGGTCCATCTGTGACAAGGGTGTGAGAGCTTAACTTTCAGAAGCAATAGTCTGCATGTAGCTCACTGTCAGACTGACCCTCTGAGGTCAGTCCTGCTGGCTCCTCCTGCCAGGCTGAACAGCTGCAGTCTGCTGCGGAAAACCTCCGACTCCTCCTCCTCTGGATGAAGTTTCCACTCAACAGACACTGAGAACAGGGAACTACATCTGAGGGAAACACACACTATGAAGATGTAGAAACATTAACAAATGCATTTATTCATAAATCGCAGGAAAGGGCAACATGAATGCCACTGTGTACAACAACCCTGGGCAGTAAGTCAGCTACATGCCACAGTAATACACTTAGCTTTATTTTGATCAAACATGATAATTAATCCATTCAGAGTAATTCAGTTGATGGATTACATGGCCAGAGTTCATTTAACCTACCTGCTGGAAATGGAACCTGCACTGGCATTCAGTGTCTGTCTGCATGTTTCATACACAGCATAGGCTTCTTCTCCCGAACACACATGCACCTCACATAAACCACCCACAAGACTGAAAAAAAAATCGTTTGGATTACATTTTATATACTTAAATGTACACTGGGGGTATACCTGTTGCATGGATAATCTACATCAATGTGTTTGTTGTTTATTGTATTTATCCTCCTACATTAATGGTCATCATTTGAACGCACCTTCCAAGCACTGGAAGCGTCACAAGTTTTAAAGGCTGCCTATTGGGGCTCAGGAGGTCCACAGCACTCCCATCTGGATAAAACTGACATTGGCAAACATCAAAATTTATCCTGCACCCAACTGTGTCTAATATGATTTATGGTTAAGCTGTTTTACACAAGGACAAACCTGCAGGAATGACACAGAGATGAACAGCTCCTCTGTCACTTGTGATGATATGTAACTAATTAGATTTGCCAGGAGCTAAGACAGAGTTGAGAGTAAAGTTATATAGTGAGACAACCTCACATATCCCAGCATTAAGGGTCGTTTGGTTTTGGGCTCCACCTGTTTGATAATACTGTGGTCTATCAGAGTGCAAATCTTGTCTGTTGAGGCTCCACATATCAGCAGAGCTGCATTACAACCACTGGCTATGGACTCGTTGAGAGGCTGCAGGAGGCCGGAGTGGAATCTCTGCAGATTTATGTTCAGACATCAGGTTACAGGTTACAGACACCACAATATTTGGTAGATATAACATGTAAAAAGACTTTGCTGAGTAGTGAAAATGGAACAGTCACATTGGTATAAATCAGAGATCAGAAGCTCTTTTGTACCTGTATGATGTCAACAGTCACAACTTGGTCAAATATGAAGGACTTTGCTTCCTGATTGAAGAACATGTTAAAACAGTGAGAGCTTGCAAAGAATAAAAGATCAAATGCTGACTGGTGGCAGTGAGTAATATAAATCCTTTACCTCATTTTTTCCTGATGTGTAGTTCAATCCATGTCCATCATCACTAATGATTACACAGTCTTTACTCTCTGAGTGCACAAAAATAACCTTTAAAAGCAAATCACCAGTGATGGAACAGCACAGTCATAGACTTTACATGTGTCTGCTTGCTGTACCTGGGACTGTAGAGAGAACAACTCCCACTCTCACTGTTTCAGCTCCCTCACACATCTGTAGGAACATGGAAATTAACTGTGAGATTATGGGAGACTCATAAAAACACCATCTTAATATATTCTGTCATTATACACTCTCATGGTTGCAAATATATGGTACTTACAGGTAGATTCATGTTCACAGTGGCCATCCTGTGCTTATGTCCACCAAATCCACTGGGCGACCTGGATTTCATTACACTGGGCTGAATTATTAATGAGCCAGAATCTACTTTCACTGTCTAAGTGATCAGAGTGTACAGTTACCAAGATGGACAGAGGGATCACAGACAGAGTTATTATCATTTTCTTCATCTATTTTATGCCAATTTTTAACATGGCGTGCTGGGATTACTAACAAATTTCAAACTTTTATTTGAACTCTCAGTGTAAATCATATAGATTCATAAAGATGTTGCAATATTAAACAATGGTGAGATGAAAAAAATCATGCCAGTTGTGGAAATAATCAATAATAAAGTGTTATTAGACACTGATTTATTCTATGTGCATTTTCCAAAAAAGGTAACGCATTCAAGTACAGCAACTTTTACAGGTGGTTATATGTTATGGACATTATTCAAAATAAACTCTGTATAATTCATTATAGATCATTAATAAGAACATATTTTCAATTGACACTGTGTGACAATCCCTTTGCCTGGTGTTTATCCTTTCTAGTTGGTAACAGTGCACTTATAAATATTGGTAATCCATCAATAAATGCTTAAAATGTTAACAAATGGATTTTGGTCCTGCTCTTTTGCAGCCCTTTGCCAGAACCAAGCAGTCACGTAATCCAATTAGTCAAAGGGCAATCCAAATGTCGTTCTTTTAAACGGCTTAAAAATGATCCATAACCTTTAGTGAATGATTTATTAACAATTAATTAAACTAATAATTGCACTTCATAAACATTTATAAAGGCTGTCCTATGAGACAAGTGGTAGAAAGGTCAACACAAATAATAACAATACAAACAATAAAATGACAATAAGTCAACAGACAGGGAGGGAAACTATGGAGATAAAATACTATCAAAAATGTTACAAATGCGTGTTTAACGTTTTGTCTGTAACAAGCGATTTGTGTGTGTGTGTGTGTGTGTGTGT